CATGTCAGCGAGGGGAAAATGGAAATAGGGAGGGCAAGGGTCCTGTGCAATTAATCATGGGTGCTAGTGCAATTGGAAGAAGCTACAGTACCTTCAGCATGTGCGAAAGCATCCGTTTGCTCTTTTTTTTTTAATTTTCTTTTTACAGCAAACATATTTAATACAGCCATTTCAAGTTTTACATGAAGCATAAATCAAGGGGGAGAAATAAGTATATTAGCCACAACACAGGTTGTTTTGTAGCTTCTAAATTTCTTAAGTGTTAGGTCATTTTACTTACAAGTTAAATAGCTGTCTGCAAGAGGCCTCGATTGGTCATAAATTGTCCTTCCAATAATATAAAACACACCATTTATTTACAACACGTATGCTCTTCCAAGTAGATCCAACAGCTCGTAAAGCACGAGAGCTCCTATGTCATCCCTACCGAGACCACTGCAATAAAGAGCCATTGGAATGACTCCGTACTCAGTAAGTGCAATCAGATCCAGCAACAGTAGCTTTTATGGCTTTTTTCTCCCCTCCAGGAAAACCTCAGTATAAATGCAATTTCAAGGAGCTGTGATGGTCTTACTCAGAGTGGGATGTTAGTCCTCCTGTGCCCCCAAGGTTTAGGGAATGGAGTGAAGTAATGCTCATCAGAGGGTCAAAATCAGCCCTCTTAGGATGGTTCATTTTCATAAAGAGGATGATAGCTTGATTGAAAATAGAGTTAATTGAATACTGTGATGCTTTCACAGTAGTATAAACACCAGAGGTCTGCCTTATAAACAACAGTTGTTGCAGAAGGTTTATTGCCTTCTTATAGTTGAAGCAATGAGCCTTTCCATCTCTGTTTATTCCAGGATGGCTAGGCAGTAAAAATGTGTGTGCTGGTACCTGACCTCGGGTGGGCTCCTAGGAAATATTGGCCCAGTTTAAGTAATAAAGATGTTCTTACATAGGCAGAGGTGTGCCCTGATCAAACTCTAAAGTGAAATATCAGCTAGAAGCAGCATTTGATCTAGATTAGAAACCCACTTTAAATGTTTGAAGTAGAAAAGCAGTAGGAGCTGATCTAAGTCTCCAAAGCCTTTTGTCGATAAAAAAGCTCTGAACAATTTCCCTTTAATAATATTACTGCATTTTAAAAATGTGATTTCTGTAGTTCTTGGACAGTACAAAAGGGTGTGATATTTATCCACTGGATTAGCAGACTAGCAGGATCATTAACACATTAATCAACGCCTTGTTCTTTGGTTCAACCTCAGAATGTGCTGAGGATGCCCAGATTGGAACCACAGGAGGAATCAGATGATTCATCTCATCCAACTGTGGAAGTACCTGTGCAATCGGTGAAGGGTCTCAAATCAGTGAAGAGAATGAGAGGTGTCTTCTAGAGGATGATCAGCGTTACACTAAGTATCTAGAACAGGCAAAATTAACTGCATTTTAGGATATGCCAATCTCCTGTCACTATGAAGCAACCCAGATGAAGGGGTGAGGATTTGCCCCAAACTTACCAGGGATCCTGCCTGAAGGAAAATGAGGACATTCATGCATCTGCATGAAATTTCTGGTTCCTTTGTGCACAGTGTCATAATTGATTCAGGGCCAACTGCTTTACTGAAGAGCCAACTTAATTCAAAGTCTACAACCAGCTAACTGCCTCAGCCCCCCCTCCTGTGTTAGCCCTGCCCACATCCACCCACCTCTATACAATTAAATTGAAAAATCAGTGTCTTGAGCAGCTGTGCTAACTCCTGCTGCAGTTAAATGGAACCTTCTCATCAATGGGCCAGACCAGGCTCTAGGTTCGTGACTGATGTATCTGTTCCTCACTGTATCACTTCCCATCATGTATATAGAGGACAAATTAATTTCTTGTCTCTCCAAAGACAAATTTCAACTAGTCAGTGTGAATGTCCATCACAGCTTTACTGATCTGCCTCCTTTCGGACACAAATCAAGATAGCTAATGAGCTGTTTTGCCATGAATCTTCCAGTTGCTAAATTTTTCCAGAGCTCACTCTGAGCTGCGTTACCTCAACCTCCATCAAACGACCTCTTCTGAGACCTGGGCAACGTGGCTGTACTCTCTGCAGGTCCCCAGCCTCACCATCTCTATCTGCCACCTCCATTGCATTGTTGACTGGAAGCTCTTCAAGGCAGAACTGTTGCACATCCATGCAGTGGTACACACCAGGCCCATCCAGCTCCTTACCATCCATTCCTAGGCACCACCAGAGTCCAACTGTGGCGATGACAGATGGATGCCAGCCACTGTTATCAATAAGAGGCGATAACAGGCACAAGGAGTTATGAAAAAAAATTACTTTTTAATGTACAAAAGGTTTATATACAGTTTCAGCATGTTACCTCCGTTCTTAGGATGTAGAAAACAGCTAAAAATGTTCTTAAGATATAAATTTGACAGAACAATTCACCTACAGTACTTTTAGTAATGATGTCTTCTATACATAATATATACAGTGCTGGAATGGTTATTATAATACTATTTCAGTAAATGAAGGAAGACCATGTCTGGAAAGTCTGAGAAATCTCAAGTCATTGGAGATTTGGTTTTGCTTTTGTGTTTGATCTTTTGTTAATGAGACATCTGTGAAGAGGGACTCAGCAGACACCACTGCCCCATGCAGCTGCTGAAAAAAATCAGATTAGCAGTCAAAGGACACATGAAGGCCTGATTTGACTCAGCATATGGGATGCACCATTGCACTCCAAGTGTCCAGGACAACATACAACATCCTAAAATACGTACTGCCCTCTTTTCATAAATGCAAAGGCAAGGGCAAGGTCAGCAATTGCAGAATATATACAGCAGACTATAAAACAATCCCTTTACACATACCTTTCACGAGAGACACAAACCAACAGCCAGACACCTTGCTTTGCTTTCCTGTCCTCATGCACCTAAGACATCAGTGGGACCTCAAGGTGAGAGCATCCTGTGCACATTCTTTGCATTTGGGATGAGGTTGGATGGGATCACAAGATGCTGAGCAGCACCTCCCTGCACTGGCTGTGCTCAGGGCTATTGGGCAGCAGGGCTGTCCCAGCCATCACTGCCAACCCCAACTGCTGGGGTACGAAACAGCTCAAAGTTTTCCTGGAGTTTCATGTGATGTTTTCACACCAGCTGGGAACAGTGAGCCTGACACATCAGCTTCTGCAAAAGGAAAGCAGGGGTGCTGGGAAACCAGAAAGCACCTTACAGAGCTGCCGCCATCTGATGCAGGGATGGAAACACAGGCACGGAGGGGAGATGGGAAGGGGAGAGTGAGGCCCTGAAGATGCATTTGGTCAAACTGTGAGAACCTAGGGAGGATGCCATGCTTGTTCCCTTAACATATGGGGCTATGAGAATCATCTTTGTCCTACACAGTCAGGATTTAAGCAGGGCCTCCTGCCTCCACGCACCCACCACTTCTACCCTTTTGTCTGGCAACAACAAAAATAAATAATACTACCAGGATTGGCTTCAGTGCCAGGTGAGTCTGGCCTGGAAACAGCTAGTTGTTACTAGAAGCAGTTATATTTTGGTGGAGGATTTGGTTTTGGGAAGCCCTGCTCCCCCCACCTCTTCCCAAGAATGTTTGCAAGATATTCCCCCAGACAGAGCCATATTTTGATCCAAATACCTGTTTTGAGACTATCCAGATATTTACCTACACTGCAGACTGCAGGTGCAGTGCTGAACTCAACCAGTCTGAGTACAAAGAGCAGTTTGTGGGTCGGCCAGGGTGTTCTTTTTGAATACAGCAGCTCTTTTCATGCTGACCAAAGCTGGGAGACAGGTTAATGCAGCACTGGGTGGGTGCCAACAAGCCTCCTTGCGGGGCAGTGTGCATTAGCTCATGGTTGGCTTCCCTTTAGTGCTGTCACGTGTCTGATGCATGCATGGGGCCACGGAAGAGTCCTGCATGGAGTGCATCACCCAGCTGAACCCTGGCCAGAACCGACTAGCTCCTACAGTGCAGACTGGGCTGAAACATCCAAACACCCTCCACTTCTACCACTTTTCAGTGTGTGAGCACTTTATCTTAGAAAACCCAAAGGAAAGCAAAGCTGTGGCAAAGCTGCATGGGGATATGGTAATGAATGCTTCAGAAACACAACCCTAAAAAGGTATTCAGGACCCTACAGAAGTCCCAGCACCGCTCAGAGGGCAAAGCCGTGCGTGTGTCAGCCTGCACACTGCAGCCTTCCTGCCACAGGGGATTATTTCCCAGTGATTGCTGTTCCCGGGCCTCTGCTCCACTCGGCACTTGATATAAACCACGTTGTAAACACATCTGATCAAAGAGTGCATTCACCTTTCAAGTGTCTCATCAATGCGTCTTTCCAATGTTTTCTCAGAAACTCTGCTATGTTTTTATAAATGTACATTTCATACACGCTTCTGGCAATACACTATATTTGATTTTTAAAGGAAGAGAGGCCTTAGCTATTAAACACGAAAGCATGGTAAGGCACTTTGCTGAGAAGCCATTTGGAATCCATGTTCTTTGCAAGGTACAAAGGTATTTATGGTACAAAACAATACTGCTGGCAGAGGGCTTGTTTGGAGACATAACTAACCACTGCTTTCATCAGAGTGGCATACATAGTATGGCTTTAATTCTGATCAAAATCACGTCCTCCCTTTTTTTTTTTCTGGGGTGGGCTGAAACTGGAATTTTTGCAAACATAACTAATGGAAAATGATGGGGAGTGCTGTCTACAGGGATGGAGGAAGGGAGGTTTTGTCTTTAACCATGCAGTCTCCGACCCTGGTGGTGATACTGTTCAGTGCTCTGGGGAACAAAGCCAAAAGTAATACTAGAGGTGCACCTCTGTGGTGCTGATCTGCCTGGATGTAGCTTACATAACTCTGTACAGAGACTTCCTTTTTTTTTTTTTTTTTTTTTTTTACTTTTAATCCCTTTAAAATATTTAAAAATTAAAAAAAAAAAAAAAAAAAAAAAAAAAAAAAAAAACAAAAAAACACAAAACCAAACAAACCAAAAAAACAAAAAAACAAGTCTACTCTATTGGAACAGATTATTTTTCAAAAGCACATTGATAAATCTGCTTTACACAGACCCCTTGGATAGTGCTCAGGCCTTGTGCTTTACTGTTAGGACATCATGTTGAGAAATTTACTCTCTTCTGCCAGGGTGGTCAGCATGGAGCTCATATCTCCTATTGCCATATTGCTTATTCCTGTAGGTATGGTGGGCAGAGTCAGAGAGTTTCGTGGAGTCGTCAGGCGAGAGGAGTTCTGGGAGAGGTTCTGCAGGATGCTGGGGCTCAGGGTTCCTGACATCAGGCTCGAGTGGTCCCCATCATCCATGATGGCATCAAAATCAATCTGGGGCGGCTCAAGACCTTGCGAGTCCACCGTGCTGGACACCTGGTTGGTGCCCGGGGATGGCAGAGCGGCCGGCTTGCCACTCAGTGCGCACTGCTGCTGCCTGACCCTGCAGTCCGAGTGATTATCAAAGCCGCTGTTTTGTTCGTACATGTGGATTTGACCATAATAGTACATCAAATTATTTTCCCTTGTGCCATCCGCACACTGTTGGGTCGATGCTGGCAACATGTCACTGGTTCTTTTATGCGCAGCCTCCACTGCTTCCTGGCCCGGGCTCATGGTGTTTGTAGGATGAGGAGTTCTCATGTAGCCCAGCTGCTGCACGGTGCGGAGGCCTCGAGGCCTGTTGGCTGGGCTGGGCTCAGCGGGGGGACGAGGTTGGACCATGCCAGGTGGATACGTCTGCGCCGCCGAACCCATCATGCTCTGCTGGGGCTCAAAGCTCTGCTGGTTGGAGGGCATGATGGGCTGATGGAAAGCCTCCTGAGCCATGGGGAAGTTCATGTGGGCTGGCTGAGACGAGTAGTTCTGCTGGCTCGGTTCATGCATGACCTGGTTCAGCATTGTGCGTTCGCTGTTGCTGCTGACCATTAAGGATGGGTCGGTCGCCATGTCCATTTGCTGAGGGTGGAGGTGGGGCCCAGGCTTTGTCGCCATGTTGCTACAAGAAGGAGAGAGCTGATTTGGGTTTCCGTTGATTGCACTGGGACTCAGCATCTGATGAGCTTGGTTATACCCTGCCTGTGAGCCCAGATCAGGGTTCATCCCTGGGCCTAGGCTCATTGGCTGCTGCCGCAGCTGCATACAGTTTAGCCTCTGCCCATCCATGCCCACATTTCTTTGCATAAAGCTCTGCTGTGTTACATTCATGCTGTTGTCTGGTAGCTGCATCTGCTGCTGGCTGTAGTTCTGGTACTGACCAAAGTTCTGCTTCTGCTGGACCACTGCTAAGTTACCTTGCGAAAACTGCTGCTTTGATTGATTGGACATGAGATCAACTGTACCCGAGCTTACTTCATTCCACTGGACAGGCATGTTATTTTTATTCATGTCTGAGGCTGCATCAAAGCTCATGGGACACTCTGCCATCATGGGCCCCAAATGGCTCATGCTCGCCTCAGCAACCGCCATCCTGCGCTGGCTGGGAAAGGCTGGTGGCTGCAGCTTCCCGCCTCCATGGAAGCTCTGCATCTCGCTGCTGTACCCCATGGAAGTGCTCTCAGCTGCTGTCCCGTTGTTCTGAGATTTGATGTATTGTACCACATCATCTGGAAGCATAATGTCATCATCTCCAACGGGCACCTCTGCCTCCCCAGACATGGCTTCCATGGCAATGTTTTCACTGATGCTCAGTGGCCGGGGTGAGTAGTTGTGCCGGGCAAGACTCCCGTCAGATCGCCCATAGCTCTGCATGCTGAAATTCCTCCTGTCGGCAGGATGTGCAGGATGGAAGGGGTTCATGCTGTTGGTGCTGTTGAAGCGGTGAACTCTTGGGAGGGCCTGGGGCTCTCCAGCAGGTCTCCTCACTGGGTCGCTTGCCCGTCTCGTGCAGTTGCCTGGAACCTCATGGGGAAATGCTGCGGTGGATGTATAGCCATAGCTGTTGCCATCACTGCAACGCCTGGGGCCTGGTGGGAGGCGAATGGAGGGCAAGGTGGGCTCTGGCCCATCCATAAGTGAGATTCTGTTCTTCAAGGTCATCCTCTCCATGTTCGGAAGAGGCGTTGGAGGAGGGCCCCCTGTGGCAGCAGCGTACTTGGCTTTTAGCCTGTAGTGCTGAGCTGGTGTGAGGTTGAGTAGGCCTGGCATCCCGCTGCACTGGCTTGCCTCACTTGACCGGCGGGAAGCATCCGTTGAAATTGGGTCATAAGAGTCAGCAGAGCTTGTGTTATTGGGACGGTGCCCGAGCTGTGAAGCCTCGCTGGAGCGGCGGCTGGAGAAGTATGGGGAAATCCCTGATGATCTGCGGCTCACGGTGTAGGCAGAGCTGATGGTGCTTGTCGTACTATCACGGCGCTCATTGATTTGATTCAGCATCGTAACCTCATTGACAGACAGCTCCATTATTCTCGGATTAGGCAGCGTAGCAGAAGAACCACCACTGTTTTCTAGAATAGAGCCTAAGAGAAAGATTGTGGGGAAGGAAAAGATTTAGTCAGTTGAGAAATTCCAGTTGATAATGTCCTTGGTTCCAAAACAGAGACACACTTAGGCACCTCTAAGCCCAGCTGCTGAGGTAGTGCCCTCACATGAGCTTCTCTTAGTGGGGAAAAAGTAGGACTGGTGTGAACCATACCACAGGGCAAATGAGTAGCTACAATCGCAGCTGCTTACTGGAACAGAAACACAACAGTCAGGCACAGGAGGCTGCCAGACCAAAAGCTGACAGTCAAGGGTTCTTCCCAGACTAAACCAAGAAAATTCAATATACTAAGCCTGAGGTTTAGTGCAAACAGGGACCTTGAGACTTCTTGGCAAAGAAATTAGAGGAGCACAAAAGGGATCATAAAGATACCGTTATCAAGAATCCCCAGCCAGTGGAAATCAAGTACATGAAGCTGTAGGCAATAGCCATTATTGCTACTGGCTATTACTCTTCAAGTAACAAAAGGCCTGCTGGGGCAAGAAAAAGTATGGAGGGCTTGGCTGGTTTGCTGCTGTGCTCCAGCAGTCTCTTTGGAAACACACCAGCCCTTGGAGAACTGTTACTGTTGGAACAAATCCAGGTAGTCTTGTGGCTGCCACTAGGATGCTAAAGACTTCTGCAATTGCGTTCTGGACAAGCCCAGAAATAAGATTTCTTTGCTTCCCTTCATAGCTCTGCAGTCCAGGTTTCTTTTGCACATAACCAGACAGCTGTGCTTTCACTCAAGCTCTCCATTTTACCTAACATTTCTATCCAGCAAGGACTGACTCAGAAGTCATAAGAAACAATCCTAAAGGGCAGACTCTTGGTTATGAGACCTGAGACAAGTTCTGGAGCATTCCTATAGGACAAGACCTAGGCCCATGGCTTACCATTTCCTGAGATGGGAGGCAGCTTGGTGTTTCTGCCTTGTGGAGCTGGGTTCACCCATGAGCAAGAATCCTTAACTGTCTTGAGTTTCTCTTTCTTGAGTTGTTCAAGTCGTTGCATTGTCGTCATGTGTTTCCTCAGCTGCAGGCTGACTGTCAAATTACCAGATGAGACCGTTGAGTCCACAACAGGAGCACTGTCATCCAACGCTGTCAGATCTCCCAGACTTCCCCCGCTGTGCATGTTCATTTCTACTCCACTGTCATTGTTGTTGGTGCTGCCCAGGGGTGACGGCTCACTGCTGCATGATGACTGGCCACCAGGACTGGACTGACACATCTTGGGAAGGAACAGAGGAGGAGTTGGACAAGTGAAAAGAAACCAGGAGCTCAGTACCCTCAATGGGTTCCATGTTTGGCCCTATCCCATATTTCCCCTCATGTTACCCTTCTCTGCCATAGGATCTCAGCTCTACCAGAGAACATGGACAGCTTCCCTGGGGAGAGCAGGGCATCACCTGCAGCTGGAGAAACTACAGTGTGTTCAAGTGGAGGATGGAGAGGACCAAAACAATGTTCCAGTAAGGGGCAGGTGCTTTTTGAAGGAAAGCAGCACATGCTACCTGATGCAAGGCATATGGCAGCAAGCACTGGCTTATCTAACATAGGATCAAAGCCTACGTATTTCAAAGACAATGTATTTCTGTCCATTCTATCATATAACTGGATTAGCTGACAAATTTCCCACCTAGGTAAAAACCTCATTCACTGTTTGCAAGCTCCCACTTACAGATAAGACAGATAAGCAGCATAAATACTTAATTTATGTACATTATAAATTGCATTAGAATTGGGTAGTTTATTTGCAGTAGACACTAAAAGGTCTGAACTTTCTCTGAAGTAGCATTGGTGCTACCTGACAGCACTCATAGCTTCTCTACTTGAAGCCCATGCTCTAGCAACTATCAGAAAGTGAGAGAGCTGAAAAGACAACAAACTGTGCCTGAAGACAAGGTGGGAGTGCAGGGTGATGTTTTACTGTTTTACAGCAGCTCTCACTGGCAGGTCTGACTGGCTCTGATGGCCTCATAGCCCTTCAATCAGGATGACAGAGACTGCAATCCTGGGACTTAATGGTGAGTTGTGATACTCAGAATGATGGGATAGTGAGGGTCCTGAGACATTGTTATGTTCTCTTTTTTTCTGTGTTTGAACAAATATCCTCTGTTCCCCACCATCACTTCAGTCTGTATGCCTCCACCTCCTCTCTGCAGATTTACCTGGAGGCAGGAGGTCTGCTAGAGACCGTACTTTATTCAGCAATTTTAATACAAAGGATTTCTTTGCTCACCTTAGTACCGACTGTCCTTAGGAAGGTAGAGTAAGGAAGGGTAAGCAGGAATAAAGAACAGGTTGTTAGGACAAAGACAGCAACGACAGAAAAGACCATGTTAGTATATGGAGGAAGAGGGGAGTGCAGAAGAATACAACACAAATTGCTAATATTTCCTCATTCCATACCCTGCCTTCCCTGCCATAGTATCACAGAATGGCTTGGGTTGGAAAGAAACTCTAAAGTCATCTAGTCCAACACCCCTTCATGAGCATACCTTCCACCAGATCAGACTGCCCAAAGTCCCACCCAACCTGGTACTGAATGCTTTCAGGGATGGGACATCCACAGCATCTCTAGACAGCCTGTTCCTGTGCCTCACCACCCTCCGAGGAAAGATTTTCTTGGATATACCTAATCTAAATCTCCCCTCTTTTAGCCACAACCCCTAGTCCTATCACTACAGACCCTGGTAAAACTTCTCTGTCCACCATTCTTAAATGCCCCTTTTCAGTTTTTGGGCCCAAAAAAAAGCCCCTTGGAAAGCCCTCCCACCAGTTTCTGTGGGTTTAGGATTAGACCAAAGCTGGATCGACACACAGGGCCTCAGAATTAAGGGAAGTAGTGAAACATCTCACCCCTCTCACCACTGATTTTAACCAGGAAACATCAGATGATCCTCCAGGATAGATGCTGCTCATTATTCATGCATGGGTGAGGTACTGGACAGGGAGAATACAGAGGACCAGCAGACACATGGGTCCTGCTGTCAATAAGACATCTTGGATGCAGCCCTGGGAGCACAGAGAGCTGGGAAAACAAGCCCACACCTTCTGAAGGAACTGGGTGGGGAGCTGTGATTGTGGGTTTTGTTTTTTTTCATAATAAAAAAACACACAGAGGAAAAGTACTGGAGAGAGGTCATTCTGTTCACCTGTTCTCATGGACCATTTTTATAACCCAGTGCAGAGTATTATTAAGGTAAAACTATTCTTTTAGTCAGAGACAATTTTGGATGTGAAAATGCTCAAATCCTTCATGACCAAAACATGAAACTCATTTCTGATTTGTTAAAAATCACATCCCTTAGCCTTTTTCATAAAATCCTTGTCATTTCAGAGTATGTTGTTTGGTTGGAACAGTAATCTTTTAGACTGGATTAAAGTCAAGAAAATATATATTTTGGAATTCAAGTCCTTCCAGCTCTACCAACAAGTCTGGGGACTGTATTTACATCCTCCTTCAAAGGTGAAGGCCATTTGTGCCACGTCTGACCCATATTCTGCCACACTCTGAGCTGGTGCAGGAGACCAGGACTTTGGGAATGAAGGTGAAGAGAACTATCAAAAGGCAAAAATGCTCCTATGCATTCAGTGCCCCATCTCCTTCACCGGCAGCAGTATGCAGAGGAGCAGGTGGGCTCCCTGCATGTGCTGGATGAGTTTTGAATGCACTTGGGCCCATCAGCGTATGTACTTTGTTAGCATCACTGACCATGCTACTGCCTACTGTGGAGTTGCTGTAATGGCTGGAATGTTTTTAAATAGTCTTTGTTTCAACTTATGGCAACTCATGGGGCTGTAAAGTATGATCATGGTTGACTGCAAGCTCATATTCTGTGAGTCAAATACGAAGGACTGTTCATTCCAGCTCACCTGATCATTGCAGGCATCACTTCCCCACCCTATCACCCCACCACAATCCTTCCTGGCAGATGGGGGTCCTGCAGTGAACTGGTGTACCCCTGAGCAATTAGCTCCAGCTGGGACAAAGGGTTGGACTAGATGATCTCAAGAGGCCCCTGTTAACTCCAGTGAAAGAAGAACAGTGAGGGAGGTGGGGAAGGAGGAGGGAGAAAAGGGATGGACTTCTGCTTAAAGACACATTCATCAATCTGTGTCCTACATCTCTTGCACAATTTAAATTGGTGAGGAGGGTACTGAAAATCTGTGATATTGCCACGTTTTACCCAAGTGCACAACACAGGTGGGCCAAGCATGATATCACATAGCCCCTGTGACTCCATGGATGGAAATTTGTGCTGCTGGGTAGGAAAGTACAAAATGTTCTGGACTGTGCCCTGACCTGCAATCTCATCTTTGAACCTGAACTCTAGGGTGTGGGCAGCCGAAGAGCAACTGTAAATGGCATGCAATGCTTCACGCCCCCACTGTACTGGAGAAATTAGGAACCGTGTGAGTTCTAAGAGCAACTGCTCTTACCACAGAATTCTCTGTTTTTATCGTCTTCACTTGTAAGCAATCCTCCATGCTCCTCGTGGTACTGTTGGCCTCGGGGCTCTCCTCTGACACCTTACTGCTCTGCTTGGCGCTTGCCTCATTGTCCCCATTTTCCTTGAGCGGAGGTGGCCTTGGGTGCACATCGTTGCGCTGTTTCTTCGTGACGTGGGCATCAGGTCCGTGTACAGTCTTGACATGTTTCCTGAGGGAACTAGGGTCTGTGTACCTCTTCGTGCAGCCAGGGATTTTACAGACATAGGGTTTCTGTAAATAAAAGCAGATATTACGTTATATTTAGAGCAAGCCCAAATATTCCAGGTGCATTGTACGGGCCAAGAGAATATAGTGAATGTGGCTGCTGGCAACAACAAAATGTGGAGCATCTGCTCCACAGGGTTGTCCAAGACCAAGATACTCCTGATGTGATATATGGGCTGCTGCTGATCCACACAGACCTGGCCAGTCATTTGATGTTGGCTAAACTCCTTGTTCTCAGTTGTTGGATTAAAAGACAGCTAAGAATTCATGAAATACTTTCCTAATATTACTTTCCCATGTATGTATTTGCTTGGGTGGCCACAGGAATGTTTCCTGATTACAAATGGGCAGGAGATGATGTAGAGGACTGGTCATAGCACGTTCTCTCTGCTAAGGTGAGGTCTGCACCGTGAAAATGCTTGAGACCTGGCTGATGGAATTCCAGCAAAACCAAGCCGGACCAGAGTAACCCTACACAATCTATCATACCACTCCAGCACCTGTCACCTTGCAATCTGTTATTGTGCAAAACAAACCACAGACATGCAATGTTTTTTCAGACGATAGCACTCTAGTCTTGAATTCATGAATCATTGATTGCCACAGGAAAACAAGGATGAAGCCATGCTTCTGAAAACAGAAGCAAACAGATACTCTTCTTCTTTTTCTTCTTTTAACTTTTTTTTTTTTTTTTTTATTTTTTTTTTTTTTTTTTTTTTTTTTTTTTTAGATTAGATGTGAGGCTCCAAGTTTTTTTTTTTTTTTTTATTGAGCTTCCAATACGAAGCACCACAGTTGTTTGAGCTGGTGCTGCTGTGCTGGAAGCTCTGAATTCATCACAAGTTCTACTTTCAGCCTCACAGCTACTCTAAGTACTTTTCTGCCAATGCACTGGAATAGATCCACAAAAAAACCGCTCCTATAAATGCTGTTTGAAGGCTTCCCAAAATGACCATTCTTACTCTTTTTTTTAATCTGTTTTCCAGTGTTATCCAGAAGCTCGAGTAAAAAAATACAAAGGAGTATGTACTATAATCACAACTATAAGCACATGAAAATCACCCAAAAATCTGTTTCTTATTCAAAAGCATGCTTCCTGGCTGATCTTGGCAGATCATTTGAATAAACTAAATGCTTGTAACACCACACTGAGGTAAATATTTAATATATTTTAACGCTGGGTAAGCCAAAGCACAAAAAGTAAAATAGCTTGTTTATGAATCTCATGCAACTCCTCCTATGAGGCATTATATAAATATTATTACTGCTACTAAAACTCATTCTAAGGAGCAGATACCACCCTGTGCTAAAAAAGCAATATTAAACAGTTCAATGCTACAGAAAGCAATAGAAGAGGGAAGAATTCCTATCTGTTATCTGAGTCTTTAATTTGTGTTGTTGGATGCAGTCTTTGTAGGGTATCAGCACATGAAGTCAGGAGCACAAGGAGCTGGATGTTACTGCCCTACAGCTTCACATTTGTGCAAAATGGGAACGCAGAGGAGCAGGCACCTTGCATTCAACCTTTGCTCGCATGAAGAGTTGAGTCATCACAGACCTTGTGCAGCTCCTGATCTGGATCACTTGGGAAGCTGAACCTATTTGAAGAAATGTAATGTAATAATACAGCCAAAGGCAAAATTCCATATGTAGGAATATGGGACATCTCTTATACAAACAGAAGGGAAGACTCTGGCATGCCTAGGAGGGATCCTGAAAAAACTCTAGGGATCAGAGTTCAAGGGATCTATGGGCAAAAAATAATTCACGTAATAAAATTAGTTCACATGTGCTTCAATGCACACAAACTGGTCAGAGAGTCTCTACCCAGTACTGAAAGTTGTACAAGAAGTCTGGGTTCATTCAAATAAGGATCCTTAGGGACGGAAGAGGCACACAAATTTGATTTAAGATAGGAAACAGTGCTGTACTAGTGGGAGACTTCAGAGTCTTGATTGACGTACTTAACTTGAGAGAAAGAAGAGCGGCTTAGCAGTACAGTGCTGTGGAAGGGAAATAGCAAAAGTGAAAGAGACATTGCATCCAACTCTGGAGGAAGGCATAGGAAGATTCCAGGGCTGGAAAACAAGCTGTTTCTAACACACGAAGTTTTGTCAGTGAGAGTAAATCACCCTATCTATCACCCAGTTAGAGAAACTTTAACAGAAAACAAATTTTCTTTTAACCAAACACCAGCTATTGAGAATACAGACTAGCGTGCTCAGCAAGTGGGAAGCTGCACGTCCTGTTGGTCACTCCTGACCTCAGGGTCTGCACAGCCTTGAACCAACCCCAGTGCAGACACAGGTTAATTTTAACCTTCATCTTGCTGAGGAAATTGCTCACAGGCAAAGGACAAACCTGGCTTTTGGGATCATACCCAAACAAATTAAAATAGTACTGGGATCCAGGTCTCAGCATCACACAGAACAAAAGGGTACCCTAGACTCTGAATCCCTCTTCTGACTTCAACAGAAGAGCTTTAACCAAGCTGCGGTTATTACTGGCAGATATTATGATACCAGAGATAGAAACTCCCCAAAAGCCCTTTGTAGACACAGCATCGCTTTAAAAAGCTCTCACCCATGGCACTTGCGTTCCATTCTCCAATAGTCTATATTTAACAGTTGCAAATTAGGCTGCAGACTGAATTCTTCATGGCTACAAACATTATTAGAACTTCAGAGTGTTGTTTTTTCTCCCCCCATCAGCTAATTAGTGGTAATATAAATTTCAATCGTCAGCTATGGTTGATTGCAACAGACCATCACATGCGTTACAATAAAGGCAATTTCCTCTGCTCCCCCAGTACTAATAGCGGGTCTTAATTAGCCAAGGTTAACAAAGCATTGCATTGTGCTCTATCATTGTACATCAAACGATGGAGGAAGTATTATTTCCAGAGTGTCAGAATCCCGGCTAGCTGTTATACTACTGAGAGTCTGTGCCACACTAATATGAAACACCACATGCACAAACGTACAATCCTATTCACACTATTAAAAATTATGAATTTGGAAAATGCTCACTTTAATTTCCAAAGCCGATTAAGAAGTTTGCATACTTTAACATCTGTTTATGATTTCAAACATGGCTTTCATAAATATAAAGCTAATGTGGTCTGGCTCTTCAGCAAAATAAATCCCATTAAAAAATAAGAAAAACCTCTCATTACAGTAGGTTTCTTTTTACATGAGTCCAGCATGTAAAGTGCATGTTTATTGTCAGCAGAATTAAAAAAAAGCCCTCCGTTGAGCTGCGGTGAGCCCAGGCTTACCTCATTGGAATGCGTCCTGTTTTGGTGCTTGGCTCTATCCGAGGCATTGGAAAAGGCTTTATTGCAGCCTTCATGCTCACAGACGTACGGTTTTTCTCCAGTGTGGGACCTCAGGTGTGTCTTTAAGTTCTCCAGGCGGGAGTAAGCCTTGGAGCAACCCTCAAACTAAAATAAAAAAAAAAACAACACAAGAAGGGTGATTAATTAACCAGAATAAATTGATTTCCCTCCTGCCTAAACCCTTCTCATCTGTTTCTCATTCTTTCTTTTTTTTTTTTTTTTCCTTCCCTTTAAAGGGCTTGTGTTTTAGGGAACAACATCCACTTTGTTGGGAGAATTCCCCTCCCTAGGCACGCTGAGAGTTTCAGCAGTGACTCACACTTAAGGTGCTGCTCCTTGTCGGATACACACCTGACATTTCAACAAGAAACTGCTTTTTCCAGCGGGGCTGAACAGCCCTCCATTCTCTTAGCCACCCCTCTGCAACTAACATACTCAGAGATGGAGATCCTTTCCTCTCACCCAGAGAATTGATGGCTTCTCGACAGCTTGACCAGCCTTGCAGCTTCCCTAGCTCCAGAGCTGGAAAGATCAGACCATTCTCTAACACACAAGTAAAAATCCCGCAAGCTTTGAAGTTTCCCAAATTACAGCTTGGGTCTACTCTCGGAAGATGCTGTGGTCAGGCTGTCTGACATTACCAGTTTAAAAAACAAGGCTCTCAATCTTGAAGACAGATGGATTCTTGGACGAGAGTACAGGCCAGAAGCCTTGCTCCTGGAAGGAAACCAGCTGCCCACACAACGAGAAGGAGCAGTTTGGGAGATAAAGTCAGACTTCAGGAGATGCAGTCCCGCCACCCTCTGCTCTGCTTGGAAGTTTCTCCCTGCACCTGCCCCATCTGTAGCATGAAGGATCTCACCAGTCACTCAAATCCAAGAAGTTGTCTTAAATGCTCTTTGATGAAGCGTGTGGGAACTTACAAATGCAGAATTTTAAGAAATGTGGGGCTTTCCTTCCAAATTCTGGCTAAATGCAGCCCTCACACCAACCATGGGGTGAGCTTAGGTGCCGCTTAGGTTCAGGTGCCGCTGTCCTGGCTCTGCACAGGTAGGGCTCCTCTAACTAGCTTCTCCCATTCCTTGTTATCTAAGATCCCAGCACATGGGCACAGGATGATCCCATACAGCTCCACTGTGCTGAAAAAGACACAGCAAATTCAGGTATCCCTTTATGGTCTGGCATGGGGATGGTGGAAATAAGGGCTCTGTGATCTTCTGATACCCAGATCTCCTCAAGGAACATCCTTCAAGAGATGATTCCTTCTGTAGGTATGTTTGGATAGGATGAATCTGGTTCGCTTTCCTCAGACAACCTTCCTCAGCCCATTAGATCCATGGAACATGCTGTAACTGTGAAGTAGCACAGTATAGCATTTCCTTCCCTTGGCATAGGCAGACAGTCCTTTACAACTGGAGTCATTTACGGTTACTGAAACACAACATTCCACTCGCTGAAAAACAAAAGGAACTCAGCATGAGTTCAACTCAAGTGTCCATTTTGGTTTTGACAGATACTGACACACATGCATTTAAAGAAGAAAAATTCTGAGGTCCCATTTTCAAATAAGATCTCAGCAAAGCATCCTGTGTTTGTTCAAAGTGGTTCCCACTCTCAGGCGTGGATTTGATTATGTCAGTGGGAGTTCTGGCTGTCATTTGTTGAAACAGTTCTTTACGGGATCTCAAGCTGCAATGGGGTCCATCTGTAGCTTTATGTACACCACAAACTTCTTGTCTGAAATGAATGGCACTTGGAAAAATCACTGCCAGACTCAGGCAAGGAATGCTCTGCCAAAGAAGGGCACCATCTGCAGAGCAATTGGAAATGGTCAGCACTCCTCTTCAGAGAGAGTTTCTCTGACACATCACACGCAGAAGCAGCACAGTTCTCCTGCAGGCAGAGGATGGCTCAAGACTGCAAATTCCCACAGCTCTGTAATTGCTCCAGTGAGAGAAAATCAAGACTGGAGCGAGGTGGGATTGAGCAGCAGAGGATTTTCCTGCTCCATCTCAGTACTGAAAAAGTCCCTGCTACTTTTCACCTTCTCAGTCCTTCCACCTGCAAGGATAGGGCTAGTCTTCCCTTCCTGCTTACTTTGCAGCACACCACAGATCAATACGCCTTGATACTTTCAAAAGTAAGATTGGTAAAGCATGAGAACTGGGCAAGGTACTTTAGAAGATTAAAACAAAAGACACGGCCCCATGCCCTGGGGAGCTTAGGCTCTAAATTAAATGAACACAGAGCTGAAAGACTGATAAAAAGTTGTGCAGCAAGCAAATAATACATATCCTAGTATTTGTAAGCAGGAGCTGGAACAGAGCTGGGGGGAGCAGGGCTGGAGGCTGGACTAATGCAGCAGAAGAGGAGGAAGATACTGGAGAAGGGCTCGGACATCTGCCAAGCAGAAAGAGAGGCTCATTCTGGAGACCCTGGGGAGAGGAACAGCATAATGCTGGCAGTGGAAGAGGTCCTGGCAAGAGGAAGAGGGTGGGAGCAGAAGATAGCAGAAGATACAGCTGGACCCTAGGGCTGAAGTATTTGTGGGAAGAGATGATGAGTTCCTCTCCTACCAGCTGGCCGCAGCCACTGAGCTCCATGGCTCACTTTTTTCCAGTGTTCCCTCTCACGCGTCCTTGGCTTCCCCACATCAGCCAGTGGCTTGATGAGAGATCCACATGGGATGGGAGACATGGGCTTCAATCCCTCCAGGCTGAGGAAGAGGTGAGTCTCTACCCTCAGGACTGAGATACAAAATCGCAGCCTACACTGTTCCTCAGCGAGTGATTAATGCTAGGTGCTATGCTGTGTGCATGCAGAAGGTTTGGGAACAGAGCTCTTCCCAAGGTTTAAGCACCCCAGGGTTTTCATCACCTCTGAATTAAAACAGGGGAGGCAGGAGTGCATACCTGGATACACGGGTGCAGGAAACTTGCAGCCCCCAGCAGTAGTGCTGGGCAGTGCTGAATGTGATGCTGAATTACACACAACCAAGGCTGGCTGCTTCCCTATAGTGTGCTGTTCCTGAGTTTCCTTCTTGGACACAAGCACTAAATTGCCTTTTTTGCATATTAAGTGACCTGTCCGGAGTCACTCTGTATCCCTGTGGTAGAGCTGAACCCACTTTCTCCATGAAATAGTTTTGCCCACCAGCCTTTCAATTGCCCTCCTACTGCTGCACTTTCCCCAGGGTGCGACCTGCAAGCAGCGATGATCCTGTCTGCAAGTTTATGTGACCCAAAATCCAGTGTCCCAATTGACAAGCTGAGAAGTTCTGCACACCCCCGCCAGCTCACCGTGCACTTGTGGGGCTTCTCTCCAGTGTGCCTTCGCATGTGCACCACCAGCATGTACTGAGCTTTGAAGGGCTTCTGCTCCCGCGTGCAGTCCTGCCAGCGGCAGACAAACTCCTTCTTCTCCCCGTGGATATGATCATTGTTGATGTGCTGGTGGGAGAGAAGGGAGAAACAGGTCACTTCTGGAAGAGCTGATGCCAGCAAAGCACAGATGGTGTTCCCAAAACCAGCCGTGCCCTCCCCAGTGCTTGTCATTGGGCATTGCACCTGGGTGCCAGGTGCACAGATAACCCCAATAACCCCTCTGTCCACAGGGACACAGGGACCAGTGCTGTGGTCTAGCATGTCCAGCTGGGTGCTGGGTCCAAAGCAGCTATAAATCAGAGGTTTTCCATAAGTGCTGCAAAAGCAAGGGAGACATGCAGTGCCAGGGAGCAAGTAGCCCTCTTGGTGTCTCCAGGGGTGCCCAGTGCCAGTGCTAATGGGTGAAGGGAGGATGATGCTAGTGGACCCTAGTTGACAGGAATTGGACTCAATGATCCTTATGGGTCCTTTCCAACTCAGAATATTCTGATCCATGACAGTGTCATTTCTGCCTGCTGAAACCTCCCACACCACACCACGCAGACAGGACCCCTTTGTGGAGAGATGCCAAAAGAGGGGGCAGAGGAGATGAGCCAGATGGTGCTGGCCCTGAAACCTCCACTTGCCTCAGAGTGGGGCAGGCAGGAAATGACAGCAGCTGAGAGCTATGTGCTAGGTAGAGCTTGGTGGCCCCAGTGACCGCTAATTTCTTGGGTCACTAAAATCCTCCTTCTGAAAAGTCAGATGCAGAACAATGCCTTCATCTTCCCTGAGAGGAAGATGAGGGTTGCTTTTTACCATTCAGAGGCAGATGAAGCCCTGATGAAAATAAACAGAGTCGGAGACCGGCCCATTGGAAGCCTGGCTGCAGCAGCAGCCTTGTCTCTCTGAATGGGGTCTTGCTGCCAAAAATAATGCCTGTCCTTGCTCCTGTGTTTTCAGCAGACATTCACTGACAGGAAATCCTAAAATAAACCACTTTGGGTTTGGGTTTTGTTTTTTTGTGCTGAGACTTTTTTCCAGTCCCCGTCTCCACCCCCTGGCCAAGGCCAGGCACACATGTTGTGGCTTGGGATGAGATTTGTTGGGGTGGCGGGGCAGTGTGAGGACACAGAAACTCAGGAAAACAGAGCAGTGTGCCTTCATGGCCCTGACTAACTTAAGCCTGGCATTCTGTATGCATGACCCAGGCCTGGGAACAAAGACCTGCCACATGCCCAGATGACGGAGGGAGGCTGTGGCAGATAGGTTTGGGTTAGGTTTCGGGTGGGACTGGAGCACAGCTGCCTATGGTTCCGATTTTATAACAAGACACTGGTGTGATATTTTGGCAGAGATCTGGTTAGCCCCCTGGGAGACCTATGGACACATTAAACCATATCTAGACCGGACTGCAAAGATGTCTCCTGGCTCTGTTTGCGTGGGAATCTGACTTGCAACCAAGACTATGCAAAGCAGTGCTAGCAGGAAGCGTGTAGGCTCTCCTATTGGATTCCCCTTGGGCCAGAGGAAGACACTTTTATTGGTGGAGGACTGCAGCCCCCCTTAAGGCTTATGAACTCACTGTCTGGGCAACATCTGCTTCCCATCACACCACGCAGGAACAGTCACACGTCTTACCACACTTAACTACACTGCTCCACAGTCCTCACTAAACCCCTAACAAGCCTATGGCTTTCCTTGGGCTTCTCTGAGATGTGTGCAGCCTTCTAGGCTGGAAGCAGTAGCAGTGCTTGAAAAAATACACTCTCATTCCTGCTGCTCCTCTTTGACACGCACTGCTCCCACAAGCACATTGCCCACTGCATGTGCAAAACAGGCCCTGCATGCCCAAGTACTTTGCTCTGCACACAAACAGAATTTTTTCCATGCATGGTGGGATGCCACCTTCTCAGAAATTGGCCCATGACATCTGTATTTCATTTACATGTGTATTTTGGGCATCCCAAATCCACAGCCCCACATTGCTAGTAATCATAGTACAGAGATACCCGTTTTTAAAACCATCCAAATTTAGGAAAATCTTGGACATTCTGTCAAATATTTTTCTTTGGCTTTTCTCTGGAAATAAATTGTGCTGAGCTGCCTGGATCTGCCCTGCACTGGGCAGAGTTAAAGGGTTTTTCTTACGTTTGAGAGGGAAGTGCACAAATACTGCTGGACAAAAGTGAGACCAGCCCATCCGACATGGCCGTTGTGGTTTAACTACAGTAAAGCACCACCCTGAGGCACAAAGTGCAATCCATTAAACAGAAATGCATATTGCTCATTTGGCCCTTGAAAACAATTTCCATATCTGTCTGTCCTCAAGGACTTGTTCTGAATGGGTGACATCTGGTTGGTTGGGCAGGTGTTTAGCTTTAAGTTGAAGAAAAGTAAATGCCCCAAATGATCATTTGGAGCACAGTCTCTCTGAGCTTAAGGTTACATTTGTGTGCAGAAATTGAGGGATAGAGACTAATGTTTACTTGGTGGCATCTAAACATGACTACGGTCAAATGAAGACCTACAACAAAGCATCGTTGCTGAGGCTGATGAATTCCCAGCAGGCCCAGGCTGGTGTCCAACAAGCAGGGCTCACACCACAGGGCCCAAATGAGGACTGGGAGGTTGCGGGGCTGAGGGCAGGATGGGGTTCAGACACAGTTTCTCAGGGATTTGCTTGGAGTTCGAGGGATTTGTCAACCCCAGAAGCCAAAGAAAAACCAAACAGTGGATTCCCACACGACGCAAAGCACACAAAAGGTTCTTGGAATTAATTAGAACTGAAAATTTGGTTCAAATGACTTGGTTTGGAGATCCTTCAGAGAGCAGCTTTGACATTAGTTCGGGGACATCACTGTGATTACTGAAACCTTATTTCCCAATTTTTAAAAAATCAGCCCACTTTCTTTATTTCAGACCCTGAGGGAGACACTGTAGCATATCTCCACACTCTGGAAGTGCTCTATTTCTGCTTATGGGCAGGGAGGTGAGAGGAATGAGCTGGGCACGTCAACAGTCCCTAAGTGACATGGCCCCACAGCTTGTACCACTGGCCAAGGTCTGTGGATGCTACAGATCATCCTTGCACACTAGTGTAGCTGTATGAGGAGGCTCAGTGAATACAGCCTGAGAGAAGGACTCAGTCCTCCCCATTTTCTGATCAGGTCCTATACATGGATCTTCTTTTACTAGATTGTGCACAAGGGAGACCAAAATTGCAGCCTCAGCAGCTGGGGAGAGAGCAACATCAAATAATCTATGAGACGCTTCTTGCAGCTAAACTCCTCAGGGAGCAGCAACCTGCTTTGGCAGTGTTTACACATCGTATCTCTGATTTGCACCTTTAGTAGCTCCCAGAGTGGGCTCTGGCTGTACAGCAGCTAGTGATAAAAAATGAGGACAAGTGCACAGAAACCCAAATTTATCACTGGAGTTTCCTCCCAGCCATTACTCACATGGACGAGCTGCTCTTGAGTGTCATATTCCTTTGTGCACCCTTCCCAGTGACAGTTTGTCTCATAAATAACCTCAGGCTCCTGTTTACATTCATCCTTATCTAGATCTTCTTTCAGGTCTGTCAGATGCTCCTGCAAGACACAACAGTGCAGTGTATAAGGTGAACTTCTTTCATCTGAATTCCTCTGTCACTCATAGATTACAAGGCAGGTACCAACTGATCACTAAGGTGAGCTCATTGTAGCAACACAGCATCCTTGATTACAGAGAAATAATGAGTTACGGAGCTTTGGCAGAAATGGATCAGAGTTAATGACGATACACGAAACGCCCTAAAGCCATGGTTGCAGTGGTGCTGTCTCCAGTCAGGTCAGGAGCAGCTGCAGGAAAGGCTGGAGAAAGGAAAAAGCTTTTGATGTTTGTTTTTGTCCTTTGCTGGAGCAACACTTCTGATCTGTGGAGGTGAGGGAAATACAAGCATGAAGAAAGCAGCCAAAGTTTATAGTTACTAGTCTCACCTGATATGGGCTGCAGAGAGGCATATATTTTATCTTTCAGTAGATCAGAAAATGATGCTTAACTGTTACCCAAAAAATTATGGCAGCGGGACACTCCACAGGGAAAAAGTATTGAGCCTTCAGAACTTTCTGGGACTGGCAAATGTAAAAATCTTGAGCAAGACTCTATGATGAGTGGATTGCAGAGCAGAGATCCAGGGGCTCTGGCTCCAGTATGGAGTCTTCATAAATTAGTTAATCTAATCCTAGGCACACTGTGAGCTCTCCCCTGAACTTCTCTGCCTACCCAACTCCTCAGAGCTAAATGAATCACAGAAGACATTTTATATGGCTGCTGCAAGGATTAAAACATTGACACCTACATAACAGTGTAACAGAACATGAATGCAAATTACTACAAGTCAGAGGGACAACGGTCACACAGTATGAGCCACAGCTACTTTCACTACAGACAAGGCAACCAGCAGCCAGTGCTGACTCTGGAATTTAGCAATGCAAAACAAACTCTGTTGGTTTTGAACCACTTCATTCCTTTTCCTCCCAGTTACTACCCCTGCCCAGCGCAGATCATCCCACCTGTAGGGCACAGGAGTACCTGGGTGACTAACTCCGTCAGACATTGTTGTGATCTGATGCTCCACTTGGCCCCTTTAGTATTTGGCCACAGCTAGACCCATCTCAAATTGTCTCTGACCTGCCCAGATGGACCTATTTGGCTGCCATCTCCTTCCCCATCAACATCTTTGCAATGCCTACTGAGAGGCTGCAATGATTAATGACTTAACGGCATTCTATGGCTTGGAAAGTAAGATGTGCTGTATGAGAGTTCAACAATTTTCATTAACTAGCTCATGACATACATGCCAGCTGTGACTTTTCAGTTCAACGGTTTAGATACGGAGAGGAAGAGATTTGTTTTAATTAGCTCTTCATCTAAATACATATATATATGCATATATATATGTATTGCAAGGTGGCTCCTGGGAAAGGAAACTGTAGAAATTCACAGAAAGATTTCTGGAGATTTAAAGTATATCTGAGCAATAGCCTCAGAAAGTTCAAACAGCACTTTCTTTTTCCAGCAGCTCTATTTGATTGAGCTGTGAACAATACTTTTATTGAGATGTTTCTTTCCACAAAAAGCTGTCTCTGAAAAAGTGAAATTTTCTCCTAAAAATATCATTTTGCCAAAATGTTTCTACTTTCTGCTGAAAAAACTGAACAGAAACCTTTTTAATTTGTTGAAGAGGATTGACACGTTTCATTTCTGGCTAGTTCAACATTAATCTGAGCCTGCACTGGAGCTACTGTGGTATCATAAGAGCACAGTAACTCAGGTCTGTCTTGCCTGATGCTTCACTGTGTTCCATGGATTTTGTCTGGATCACATTTTTTATAGCACACACCAGCATGGGAGATACTGTCTGGCAAGGATTTTAGACACCCAAACCACAACTCACATGAGGTTTTTTTAATGCAGCATTTCCAAAACAAAACACACATATGGATGCTTTTTTGGGATGGCTGCTCCTCAGTAATCAGGTTTTCAGCAGTCTCATGCAGAATGGAAATCCCCAAATTTCAAAAGCTGGTTGTTGCTTAGACCAGCTTAAAAGGAGACACCCGTGACATTCAATCTTCTAACCTGTTCTCCCTGCCAGGAATGGACTGTCTCTCACAAGGCATACTCCAATAATCTCTCAGTCAATACTGAAATGTTGCAAGATGTGAAACCCACATTTCTCTTGGGGTATTACTCCACATATTTCCTCATTAGGAACCATTAGATAACGAGAATACATTTTCTTTCTCTTAATTTCATCTTGTTCTTCTAATCAAGCCTCCATGTACCACTTTAAACAATTCCCTCCCTTCTTGCAGTGCTTATTTCACTTGGGACTCAGTGGATGAAGCACTGGGGCAGAGCTGCAGGGAGAGCAGGCTGGTGCTTTACAGGCACTCTTTGCTGTCAATGACAGCCATCAAGGAAGTAGCTGTCTGTCCCACAGCTCCTCTGCTACAGATGCTTTAGAAAGCTGGTGATGGCTTTCAAATCTTTTTTCATTTGCTGCAGGAAAGAAACATGTTGCCTATTAGCCTAGGTGTTGGCCAGATTGGTTTTTTGGGGCATGTGCTTTTCCAGCAGTGTGTGGATGCGCTCCTAAACTCAAAGCTCCAGAGAGATGCCTCTTTGCCCTAATCATGCTGACTACAGCATGTTTATCTTTCCCTGATATGCTATCTTCATCAATTTTACCAGCCCCCTGATGACTGCACACATTGCTGTCCCCATGCATCATGCTGAGACCTGCTCCTGAACCAGGGCAGGAGGAGAAATTTGTCATCAACTCTTCCATTCGCCTGACAATAACATGGCCTAATATTTCATGAAAATGAAGTGCCCAGAGCACTCCTGATAGTTTACAGTTGTGATAAAGGATGGTCAGATGGATACTGTCAGCCATTAAACAGTTTGCAATCACAGAGCTCTGGGAAGAAAGCAAGGGGAATTTGGGCCCTTCTTGGTGTCAAATGTGACACTGGTGTAAAGGATGTTGCTAGGAGCAATTCCTTGTTGAATCAAGGAGTCCTTTTTTTTCTGCAAGCTTTCTACCTACATGCAAGAATCCCCTGTAATCTATGTTTGCTCTGAAACACCAATACTGCTTGCTTTGCAGCACAGAAAACTCCAATGCCATTTTTTCAAGTTATCATGCTTCAAATATTCCCTCCCTCCTCTATCTGTATCCAACCACAGCAGCTGCATGCTGAGTCTTAAGCACCCACTGAATGCTTCAGTCAGTCACTGCATCAAAGCATGCCAACAGCATCGTTCCCAGAGGCAAGAAGACCCAGCAGCTTTGCTGCCTCGGGCCCCAACACGTCTCGCACCAAGGAGGTTACCTGCGTGGTTGGGGATACTGGGGGCAAGCCCTCGACTTCGGTCTTGACTTTGGTGCGCTTGTTAATTACAGGATTGACGGTGCTGCTCACGGCTGACTCGCTGCTCTGCTTGCTCTAGGAAGGAAAACCAGGCAAGATGTGGTACAGGGTTTGGGATGAGAGACTCAATGCAGCCCACAGCGTTGTTCAAAGTCAACTAAAAAATCAGTCAAAGTTGAACATCAAGAGCGGATGCGGACAATGGCATGCTGGCCTGCTGCCAAGGGCTTCATGTGAAAACTAGCCTGTGTGGGTTTGTGCAAGCCAGAAAGAGGGGAAAATAAAGGGCACCATCAGCTTCTGCAAGCTCATCAGCAAGCCTGGCTCTTTCAGAACGATGCAGTCCCTGTCAGATCCATGAAAATGTTATGTAAGACCCACCCAAGACACGATTTTATTTCTCAATGTGATGAAACGACTTGTTGAGAAAATGAATTCCCAAGAAGAGTGGGGGCCTCTGGTTACATGTGAGGGCTCCTTCATGCTGGGTGCATGAAAGGCAGTGTGTATATTTTGCTAAGCTCTTAAAAAAATGAAAACAACTTCATGAGAAAAAAAATCCCATTGTATGTTCATAAAATTGGAACGTTAACATTTTAAATACACTACTCTTGCTAATTGCTCAAGATTGGTCATGCAAGTTATTAAACAGAGGCATAACTCCTACCAGCCACATTATTTTGGTAGCCAGTTTGTGAGAAGAAAACAAAACCAATCAATCAAATAGCCTTCAATAACAAACAGAGTTTGCAGTTCAGCAGCCATGAGAAATCCTAAAACAATAAACCAGTCTAAAAAGTTCAGGATAGTGCAACTAAAACAACAATTTGAAATGGGTGTGAAATGAGGTGAAGTAAGTCTCTGGGGAGAAAAGCAATTGCAATTTAAACTTCAAAGGAATGAAAAGGAGAAGAAAAAATGTTAAAAATTGTGCTACGCATATTCACTGCATATGTGCGTAGGGAGGATATGTGCACACAGAGATATGTGTGTGAGTGCGTAGGTATCGGTATGGACCAGGTGAGGTGTATGACCTCATATACATTGCAGCATTCCTAATACTCAAAATATGGCCTTTGATTCTGCAAAACTTAAAATCATCAGCAGAGACATGAGAGAGAAAGTGACAAGTGAAAAAAGGGAACAATATGTAAAACTGTGAGAGGTCCCACAGGATGCACTTACCTGCTTGTGAGGGAAGGAGTCATGTGCTTTAAAACTATCTGCATGATCCACATCAGTAGGAAAAAGGGACAGGTGAAAGACCAACAAAGCTTGATTCACAGTATTCATCTGCTTATGTGGAAAAACATTTCAGCATGTGCCAAATCTGACTCCACTGACTTCAGCAGCATGTGACAGGTGCTCAAGGAGATTTGCTGCCTGAGATGGCCCTGTGTGTCATGTACAGTGCTTTGCCAGATCAAGGCCATGGCTCCTGCACTGGTATGTGAGTGTGTGGGTGTTCAAAGTGGGAGGTGGGTGCAGAATCTGACTGCGACAAGTCCAGAAATGCTTTGTCAGGAGGAATAAAGAGTGCTGCAAGGTGAGAGCCACCCCTACCTGACTGGAGTCGGAGATGCAGTTGCTGTTGCTGCTGCTCTGTGCCGGGGGTGCGTTGACGGAGATGACGGCCATGTGCTGCCGAGGGGGAAAGGTGGGAGACGGCTGGATGAGGGGAGGAGTGTGCCCGAAAGCCGAGCTCAGACCTCGCTGCTGGGTCAGGATCTGCTGGTATGTCACGGGGTTGATGGGGTGCGGGAAGCTGAATGCAGGGCTGCAGCGGTGGGAGGAGAAGAAACGATGAGGGATTATTTCAAACAGCGTTTAGCACTTTGGCTAGTGACTGACTGAGTTTGGCCAGGACTTTGTAGAGGATGCAGCATCCCAGGTAGGTGCTTCAATGCAATAATAAGCTTGCTATTGTGCTTTGCTGCAAAAGCAAGCTTTGTCTCGTGTGAACCTCAGCAAACTTTCTGACCCATGTATCAGACTGACCATAATTCCTTTGCTTCTTTTGTTTAAAAACAGCAAAGCCCTTGGCAGGGAGCTCAGAACACATCTGGCTTTGCAGCCACACATCCCCCAGCTTTTCCCAACTCTATTCTGCAGGCTTGCAAGCTCAGGGTTAAGCTGCCTGGACTGTGAGACCCCAGCATCACCTGGCTCACCTGGCAGAGATCACAGCCAGGGTGAATCACAAGCCATTTAGCATAGTCCAAAACATGTAGTTTACTTTACACTCAGGTGAGGGACATGCTGGCTCAGGGGATTGCAGAAGTATGTCACCCTTCATATGTAGGTCACTGGTTCAGCCCCAATCTAGGTCAGCAGTGATCAGAAACCCCACCAACTCCCTGGGGCTAGCTAGAGGCAATGGGCTGGAGCCAAGGTGCAGCAGGCAGAGGCATTAAAAATGAAGCTCTGCTTCTGGAAACAAGGTTTTCATACCCCAGTAATGTATCTGTGGTGGATGCCCTGTCCTTGGAGACATTCCCTGATCAAACTGTAGGTGTTCCTGTTCATTGCAGGGAGTTGGACCAGACAACCTTTAAAGGTCCCTCCAACTCAAACGATTCTATGATTCTACGATTCTGTTGATAGAGATGGAGGAACACAGGAGGTGCAGTGAGTATTGTCTGCTCCCTTTACTCCAGGTGAGGGATGAACAAACTGTAGACTCTCAGCCCCAAATCAATTATTTGGCACCTTTTAAACATAGCTGCCCTGAGTCCTTACCACTCATGGTACTTTTTCTCATGTCACTAAAACTGTCCATGGTGTAAGCGCTCAGGAAACAGAGTCATAATTAGCAACAGACTTCATTTCCAGTTTTGTTTTTAGAGAAAATATGCATTGCTGGTGATCACACAATTAGTATTTCTATTCCAAACTACTTAATGACAACTTGACCAGAAGAATAATGGGTAAAAATCACTGCAGTGTTATAGAGCTCTAGGAGTCAAAAGCATGCTGCAGTAAATGAGGTGTGATGGCAGGTTGCTGCACAGCACTGTTGTGTTATAACAAAGTCCAAAAATGACTATCACTGTTTTTTTAAGCTAGCAATATGTTACACTCTACAATTTCTAAATGACAGTCAGATAAAGTAACTGATAAAATTAATGTAATGGTTACTAATAACAGTGCTCCCCTACAAAAAAAAAAAAAAAAAAGCACAGGATCTTTATAAACCCTTGCTTTGCAACAACAATGTTAATTAGAACTAACATATTTAACAGTTAAGTAATAAAAAGAATAACAATATTGTGAAACTTGGGTTAAGCAATCACGGCAGGAACTGACAACAGTAAGCTGCCTAGCGTAAGTGCTTTTTAATTAAGATTTTAGCAAAACTTTACTCAAGGGCTTAGATTTTTTTTCAGATATGTTTTTAGAATCAGGCTCTTAAATCCACCCAGGCAATATTTGTTTAAGAATGTGGGCCAGTAATTTTGAGAATACTTTGGGGGCAGTTTCTTCAAACAGAGGGTTTCGCAGAATCAAAGAATAGTTTGGGTTGGAAGGGATCTTAACGTCTGCCGAATGCCAACCCCCTGCCATGGGCTGGCTGCCCCACACCAGCTCAGGCTGCCCAGGGCCCATCCCATCTGGCCTTGAGTACCTCCAGAGATGGGGTAGACTCCTCCAGTACCTCACTGCCTTCTGAGCAAAGAATTTCTTCCTGACATCTAACCTAAATCTCCCCACTAGTTTAAAGCCATTCCTTCCGCTCTATCACTATTACACTGTGAAAAAGTCAGTCCCCCTCCTGCTTATAAGGTCTCTTCAAGTACTGGAAGGGCACAATGAATCTCCCTTGTTAGAGGACACCCCTCGTCCTTTTGAGGGGGGTTACACAGTTAGACAGCCCCCAAAGCATTACCTTATTGTCCCGGCAGATAAATGGCCGTAGGAGCCACTTGCCGCTGAGCTGCTTCTGGAGTTGTTAATATATGCCACAAGGGAGTTTGGGGAGGTCCTGATCATCGTCTGCAGATCAATGCTGGCATCAGACAGTGGGGAAATAGACAGGGCTCGTTTTCGGCTTAATCTCGGAGTCACCCGTGGGCTTGAAAACCGGGACACTGCAGAAAAGAGAGAGGAGGGGCGAATGAAGCACAGACTTTGTCAGCCAAAACCAGCGGGCTGCTCCGTCCTGCAGCCAAGTGAGGGGAAGCAGATGCCTGGTGGCTGAGGATGGGTTTCAGGAGGTGTGGGGGGACCTCCCAGTGCACTCTCACCATCACTTGGAGATGCAAATGGCCAGCTCAGCTCACTGCTGGTGCGATCATCAGTGTGCTGGGGACAGAGGGGTTCTTAGGAAGGGTGACGAGCAGGAGCTGAGACCTGCTGGCTCGGGACTGCTGTGGGATGTACAAGAAGCAGAGTAGGCAGCAGCTGAGGCTTCCCCTCTGCTCAGTGCTGAGTGACCCGGGGCAGGCAGCACGGCATACTGCATCCTCCTCAGAGGGTAAACAGAAGCCTGTCAGTCATCGTTTTTCATTGGCACTAAATAAACTTGAAATTAAAAGGGAAAAGGCCCCATAGGATTTCTATGAGCACAGCCACCCCATTGACTCAGAGAAGAGTAGAGGCCAGCGGAACCATGTCAGAACCCAGGCAGCCCTTGGACATGGTGCGTGCAACGGTGCGCAGAGGGAGCAGGAATGAAAGTGAGCACAGTGCTGACCACTCAATTAAAGCAGGGTGAGAGACTCTGGGAGCCTCAAAAGTAAATTAGGAGTTTTAAGAAAACCAATTTGGCAGCTCAGGCACAAAAGTTCAAGCTCTCCTCCTCCAAGGGGATCTGCCAGGGCCTGGACCCTATTAGCAATTGTCAATCATTCAGGCATGAAGTCACTTCCAACCCTGCCAGTCCCGTTTGTGGATCTGCAACACACAGTGAGTTACTACTGTACTAATTTGGCCTCCTCCAACGTTTCGGTATTGCTAACTAGAACAACTGACTTCATCCTGAGGAAGCTCTGCCCAAGACTAAACAACCTGCAAGTCACATGGTGGTGTAGATGGGAGCCGGGGCTGGGCAACATCACAGCAGCTCCCGATAACCAGGTATGGCCAATGCCTGGCCAAGCCTCAGTCCTGCCTGGATGGGCTTGTCCCTCCAAAGCAAGGACAGCAGCTTCCAAGAGTTGCTGTTATTTAAAAATGATTTTTAAGGGTGAAATATGCTACAGGGTCCAGTGGCAATCCTCATAATCCACCCAAGTGAGCACGGTGCTGCATTACTACCTGTTTTTTCCAGCTGTAGTCCCCTGGGAAGCTGCCGTTCAGGCTTGCTGTGGCTACATCCCATTAAAGATTGTGAAGGAAGCAGTAACTTGCCCAGAAAGGCAATGCAAGCTATTTTTTTTTAGACAGTTGGAGGGACAGATTTCAGTTGCATCTCACCAAATAGAAAGCTGGCACTTTGCAGGAGCACAATTTCTCTGCCCTGCAGACAAGTGCTGGTATGAGGGGGGCGAATGGGATGTACAAGGGTAGTAAAATACAACCTGGCAGTAAGAATAATGTGTTCCTTGATTTGTATTGGCTCACAAAAGTTTTTGTCAACATTTTCCTGAGCACAGTGGATGGGCTTCAATCTCCTGGAACCTGGAATGAGTGAGTCACTCATTTACCCAAGTGGCTCCAACCTTGCTGTGCCCAGATACTGTTATGTTCATAGGGTTTGCTCCCCTGCTACTCATAATGTCCCTCTCTGCACAAGGTAAGTGATCTGCATGAGGTTACTCTGGAAATACAAGGTTAAGCTGAACCAAGTACTCTTGTGACTTCTGTCCTACACCTGGGAAGCTTCAAGAGCTGTTGGCTGCGATTCCTTCACTGCAGCTCCGCAGCCTCATGGGGTGGGGAAGAATCTTGGAAACTCAATTCAAGGGCTAGGTAGCAAACACAAAGAGCACACGGTAATCTATAACATCACCTCCTGACTTCAAGGTTGTCCCATGATCTGGTGGGACCAGACTCAAACTTTCTGAATGCTTGCAGCCAGCCCTGCCCTGCCCCATTCTCACACAGTGAGTGGTGCTTCCCTCAGGAGCTGGAAAAGCAGACGCCACTGTGCCGAGGTGCTATGGAATCAAAACCAAAATGAGTAAACAAAGTTCCTTTGTAAAGACTGGGATTGGAGAATGCCCAAATTTCACACTTTATCCATGAAATGTGGGCTCTGACAGGGCCCCAAAACAACAACCACAAGGGTTGCTTGGGTCCAAGTTGTAAAGGTGAAAGCAGTACTCTGTCCACAACATAATAATGCATTTACTATCACTGATGAGAACTCATTAATTTATTTTCCTGGCAATAAGGCATCTTCATTCATTACACATCCTGGACAACCTGGGTGCTGTCCCAGCCCTCCCCATCTACATCGCCTTGCGCGGGTTGCTGCTTCTTTCTGCATCCCTATTTCCCAGCGCCATACATTCAGATGAACTCCTTAAGATAGGGTTTGTGTTTTATTTCCTATGTGTTGCATCTACCAAATGCAATGGGGCTCCATCTCGGCTGAGTTGTCAATGTTTCTGTCCTACAAATAATATGCATCTTTCCAGATATAGTTATTGCTTTCTGCATTTGCATTCCCACAGTCTTCTCCTTCTCTAACAGAAGGAAGCAGGCCAGATTTGACAGTCATATTTATCTCTGTTACTCCCACACCTCAAGGGAGATCTGTTTATTAATGTGCCACTTCCCTTGATAAATTACTAAATAGAAAGAAAAGCCTTGTACTCATTTCTCGCTGCTCTTTCCAATGATTTATGTCCACAGTGCTGGTTCAGCCATTGGTCACCGTTAATTTGCAAAGGGAAGAAGTCCTGACGTCCAACAGAAGCCCTGCTTTCACTGGTGCAACCAGCAACCTTCTGGCTGTGTACAGGTAAGCCCTTCTTTCCCTGTGTAAAGCTCTGCTGAAAGCTGTCAGATTGGCAAGCTGGTCTGGGACTTCTCCTGCCCCAAACCAGTAATATCCATTGCATTAGTGTCTGTCTGCTCTGATTTAGCTCCTGCAAGTACTGTTGGGCTATACAGAATATTTGAGAGTAGATCCAGTAGGTTGGGTTCATGCTTTACACAAAAGCCTCTGAGATCTTGCAAGTTTTCAGAGAAGGCTGTGACCTAATATCGTGCTACAGATGAACAATTCATCTCCTCTCAATAGCAGCACCCAGGAAGGGAAGCATCTTGAAATGTAAAAGGAACTGAACCACAGAAGGAAGCACTTAAGACTGTGTTAAGAAGGGGGAATCTTTTCACAATTATTACTCAAAAGCAGGTTAACAGCACTAGGATCATTCTTAATAAAATTGGCCTAATCCCCTGATCTGACGACATGAAATACGAACATCAAGTGGAAACAGGCAGCAACAAAGACAAATGTTAGGGGAACTGCGCACATAGACAAAGTGCTCAGAGTGAGCTGACTGACAGTCACTTGAATACATGAGCAAAATCTTGTATTGCATGAGACCCAGTAATGTTTCAAAGGAAAAACTGCACAAAACTTTTCCAGCAATGAATGCCCTGAGAAGGAGATGAAGAGGGATCCATTTTTCAGACAGAGAGATGGGGACAGAGTGCCTCGGAGTGTTAAGCACCAGGGTAGTCAGAGTACCCTTCCCCACTCTTGAAGCAAACAAACATAAATATGAATTTGGCTGCTGTTGTTCTGAAAGAAGGTTTGTTCAGAAGCTTTGTTTCAGAAGTTGAAACAAAAATAAGGAATGATGTAAAAGTTCATTAATCTACCTGAATTTCCACTTTTAAAACAAACTTCTCTGTGCCTCTCTAACTCAGAGACCTTTTAACCTTTAGTCGCTTTCCCCTGAATGCCAATTTTTTTCACCAAGGCTCAGAAAGAAGTTATGGGCCACAGCCCACACTTGGTACTGTGTCTGTGAATTATCACATCCACAAATTAGTCAGAAACTGATTTTCTTCCCAAATTCTGATTTATCTACAGGGGGCCAGTGACAAGCCATAGGGCACACCTCACATTTCACACAAGGGGCAGCCTGTGGTGGAAACATTCACCATGGCTGTGGGCCATCCAAACGACACTACAGCAGCACGTGGTCTTGATCAGAGAAGGACACTGAGGAAATTTCCTTCCAAGTGGCTGAGCCCACAAAGCACATGGGCTGCAAATGCTCACCAATTCCTTGTTAAAACCTTGGCCACCGCTTCCCTGCACCTAGCCCAAAGAACTCAGAAATACCCTCTCCTCCCATCACGAGAGTAAATCCACGGATGGTCCTTTCATCAACAGGCAGGAGCAAGAAGCGACTAAAGCTCTGTGCACAGCCAGTTCCTTATTCCCCTCTCCCCTTGGGCAGCAGCAGCACACGTCTCACTCAGACTGCAGCAGATGCTGGACATTTGTTCTGGCACCAGATGCTGTCCTGGGACCCTCCTTTCTGCCCTCCCCAGGGCCTGATCAGCTTCACAGTTCAAGGAATACTAATGCTTCCCTCAAATCCTCGCTGAAAGACAAGGCTGCATTCTTCTACTCCCAATCCACAAGGTAACTGTTTAGATGACCCAACTTGCATATGTAAATTGAATTCTTTAGAAACCAGAGTGCAGCAGAACTCCAGACAGAGTGCTTATGGGATGCTCTGGGACTTTTTCTCTCTTCTGCACATATTTTTCTAGGGAGGAAAACAGTATTGCTGGCTAGAACTGGGTGGGAAACCGTTTCACATTCTATGAACCTTTTCTGAGACTTCAGCAAGTTTCCATTCTGTGCCGGGACAAAGAAAACAACAAAAAAAGATCTCTCAGAGTGGTTAAGGAAGTAACTGCAGGGCGGGCTGTCTGCCCGAGTAGCCAGCAACTGGCTGGGTTGGGATGGCATCTGTGATGCAGAAGGCTCAGCCTGCACATCCCATGTGCTGGGCCTTCAGCCCACACAAGGCACTTTTCCCAGGTCACTGTGAGGCTCCAAACCTCTGAATCGAGCAGTCACATTGTGTGAATCTGTTAGAGGGGAGTCCTGAACCTACCTCTCACACTGCTAACTGTAAGAGCCTGCCAGTGACTGCCTGGTTACACTGCCAGCCCAGCTCCTTACCCTGATGACTATTAAATCATTTGCTTGTAGTAGAAAGGTTTCAACAACAGTGACTGATGGAAAGACAGTGGAGGCTGAATCACTGTTTGACTTGGGGGAATGAAGTCCTGCTCGAATGTCTGCCCACATCCCAGGTGACTGTTCCAGCTGCCAGTCCTGTGCTCAACAAAGCCTTTTCCCAATTAAACTGATTTTATCAAGTCAAGACATTTCTGACTGCCATGCACTAGCCAGCAAGAATCAGAGCAGGAGTCCATCCCCGCCTTCAAAAAGGGATGAAATGCCATTACAGCTTGCTAGGTTGCACAAAGATGCCTGTGCAGCCCCTGTGACTTGAATGACTGTCTATACAGTGCCATCTGGACATAAGGTGGACTCAGGACACTTTTTTACCATTCCCATAATCAGTAAGAACAACTCAAACAAGCTTCCAACACTGTAACTAACAGAAGTGATAGCTTTAAAGATAAACTCTTCTTCTCTCTCTGGCCATGAGAATCCTTACTCCAAAGACCTAGATCTTGTTCCTGGAGCAACTAGTGCATTGCTTACTGATCACCTTGTCTCCTTTCTCTGCAGGATTTCCAATGGTGAAACAGCTTTGCTTTGTACAATATTTACAGATCTTCTGATGTACAGAGCTATAAGAGCACAAGCATCAAGTCAGGCCAGAGGAAATGGCATGTCCTTCAGGATGATGAACCTGCATTGTTACATTGCAGATAACAATAAGAGCTCTCCATTCAGACTTTCCTGCCCCATGGGTGCCTTCTCCACCCCATTACCTGGAATAATCCACCTCATCGCACCCATGTTTAGAAAAGAGATCTGCTCTGGTGAGCAGATGCTGACAGTTAGTTTCAAAAGTGTCCCACCAGGAATGCTGTGACACTGGAGGGGAGTTAACATTTGATTTGAAAATGCAGGCTTTTGGACAACTTGATTTAAGACTGGATTCAAGCTCTGCTCTTGGACTTAGAGTCCCTGCTTGGATGGACAGAATGCAACTGAAGCAGCCTGGTGCATAACACTTAGATTTGGTTTACTTTAGTGCTTCAACTACTGATGCAGTGGCACAGTAAAGACCTGGTAAGAGATGCAACTCTGGGGCATCCTCGCTCAGCCCATGTGAACACTCAACAGACAGTTGGTCAGTTGCAACAGGCTGCAGCTGACACTGATGCCCAATTACTTTTCTGATCTTTTTGCACATCTGATGCAGTGAAAACACACAGCATCAGGTGTGAGAAGAGAGATTTTCCAAGAAGTGTGACAAGAGTAATGTGAAGGGCTCAGGTATGTAAAAGGATCATGCTCACTATCGCAGACTTCCACATACTATAGATGTCTGGAGGTGATGTGACAATGAACAGGCCTTTTCTTTTAATTATTAATTAAAATACACTTATCTGCTCTTTTGCTGTTCCAGGTGCCAGAGTTGTCACAGATGTGCTGCATGAGGTTCACCAGGAACTACCTGCATTTCAGCAACTAGCAAAATAATTATTGTAAAGTTCTTACGTTCTAGGACTCTGGGAAGAAAAGAGCTCTCTCAATGAAAGATGCTGCAAGACAGTGACTCACTGGAGTTTTATGCATGCTACCCATATTCTCATCTCAGAAAAACACCATAAGAGGATGCCTTATTAAATTATCTGTTCAACTATTTTTTTTAGTTCCTACTGATTTGAATTTTTGAAATAGCTTTCTAAACAGAGAGGGATATTCCAGCTCTTTGGACAGAACTTCATAGCAATTCATTTAACTCTCTTAGTAGCACACAATTCTCTCTTCATGCTGGCACTGAGCCTCCATCATCAGACAGAACAGTTCACTGGGGATAACACATTAAGCCCACCAACAAAATGCCAACCCATGTAAGACACCCCGATGTGTCAGGATGCAGATGATCTTAGAGGTCTTTTCCAACCTTAATGACTTTATGATTTTAAGTTCCTCTGACTTCCAACATGCTTTTATATGCCTCAATGGGCCACAGGTGATTCCAGTACCTGCAACAGCACCACACATAGGGGCAGTGAGGGACGATAAACCAAAGCAAGAGTCTCTCTGGCTGATGGGTGAAGCTGAATGTGTAGAATGTGGTACTGGGTTGCTGCTCCTACTCACATTCTTAAAAAGTAGCCTTCCCATATCTCATGTTGCATTCTTATGATGTATGAAAGATTTAATCTCGTTCAGAGCACTTGAAGGTCCAGAAAAACCTTACCAGTTACTGATTAACAAAGCTTTACTGAGAGATCAAAATAATGCCTGGCAAGCTCTGGCTTTCTGAAGAGTCATGGTTCTGAGCATGGCTGCATGAAATCAAGACCTCTGCTATGTGATTTACTCTACAGCCATTTTCAGAAGCCAGGAAGGAAGAGAGTCTTCTGCTCAGAGGAGCAGCTCAGATGACTTCGGATAAAGATGGATTTTCAGCAAACTCAGAGGATGGGCATTTTGATGTACTGAGCCTGCGCTAGCATGAAAACAATTGTGTTTGCTTCTCTTACTGGCTGTTTATCTGGTACTTCAGCGAGGCACTGCTGGTCAGAGATGGACTAATAAGGAGGCAAGGAGGAAGGAGTCTTGTTCAAAGGCCCAAAGAGAACTTGGCAGAGCCGATTTGCACCCATCTGCTATAACCACAGAGATTAACCCCTCAGATGGAAGACAGCGAGCAGCTTTACTGACAAGCTGCTTCATGGAAGAGAAACTCTGAACATATTTTGGGTGTTAGAAGCAGGATGGCATCAAGGAGCACGTGCTCTCCCATTCAACCCAGGACACAATTTCCCTATCAGTGTAGGAACAGAAAAGGACTATTCAGGTAAAACTTTGGCAGCAGCTGCAGACGAGAAACTGGATTTTTTTAGTTAGAAATATCCATAAAGTCGCTATCACTGAATAGCCAAGAGCAGCTTTTATCATTCTAAACCAGTCACTTTACGAAGCAGCAAGACCACAGTCTTTCATCTTAAAAGCTCAACAACAGAAACTTTGAAGCGGTAATGAAATGATGCAGAACTCCACTCCAAAAATTATAATGGTCCACAGGCAAATCCAAAGGCAGCCCAGCAGACAGAAGCTGGGAGCTGAAAGCTGAGCCTTCTCTTTCCTGCAGCAGAAGTAATCCCCAATCTCCCTATCTGTGCAATCCCAGTTCTTACAAGACATAGCATAAAGGGAAAGAAATTTCTAGCAGCTCTAAAAATCTCAGATGAAAAAAGCCTTCAGACAGTCTTCCACATAAACATTACCCATCATGTCAGGGCAGCGGCCAGGCTGGGGGTGACTCAGCACTGCCGTCCATAACATCATTTTACTTCTTCATTTAGCAATGAGCCAGAACTTTCTGGGTTTCTAATGACTTATAGTAGTATAAATACAGCATTCCAGCAATTTTTTTCTCCCACGAAATACGAACACAATCCTCCCCACCGTGGCTCCCTGTTAACATACTTTTTCTCCTTGGGCGGTTTATTTTACAGCCACTCCGACAGGCCCAAACTCAGAGGAGGTTGTGCTGAACATGGCAATAAGGGGACATCACCAGTCCATGGCCCAGACACCGGCCAGAACAAATGTTGGGATAGGAAGTGGGAGCTGGAGCACAGCCTGGGGCACACAGTGGTTACCCATGGCCAAGGCAGCGGGACGACAACATTGCCCTTCTGCTGCATCAGCTACCTCCCGCCTGTGCAGCAGCCCTTCCAAAAGCACTGCAGCATATCTGTTTTAAATTAGGTATATTTTATATATAGATGTATGGAAAAAGATAATGTTTCAAGCCAACAATCAGTGTAACGCCTATGGGTTTCAGCAGGGTAGGGTAATCTCATCCAGCAACCTCCACCTGGAGGACAGTCCCACCTGAATGCCCCAGATTTCTGTGGCATGGTTTGCTACTCACCATCAACAGGGCTGAGGTACTCATGGAGGTGGGCCGTGCTGGCTGCTCCGCCGCTCTGCATCAGGATGTCCCCATAGGGGTTGGGATGGCCGGCCATCAGCGTCATTTGGTGGTAGTAGTCGGTTGGGTTGGCTCCTGGTGGCGGTGGGGGCAGCCCGAAGAGGCCTCGTTCCTTCAGATGCTCATGAGCCACTGCCGAAGCCGAGAGTGAAGAGGAGAACATGGAGAGAAGGTTCCCAGAGGACGTTAGACCTCGGCGCCGAGGTGGGCGGCCGCATTCCCCCCGCACCCCCACCAGCCCTTGCTGCACAGCCCCGCTCAGCGTGGTTGTGACGTGTGCTTGGGCGTGTTTTTTGTGGACGAAAGAAACTAAGCTGGGGCCTCTGCATTCCTCTATTTCCGCAAATTTATAAACAATCTCTCGTTCCCCCTTTTAATAATCCTCCCGTTCGGACGCAGCCGTCGCCCCGGGAAGGGGGGAGAGGGCCTGGCTGTCGGCAGCAGTAACCCTGTCAGCATCCACATCCCTGCTTATTAGGGAGGAAAGACAAATGCAACCCAGTTCCCGATAGCGGTATGAGGAAATTAAAGCCAAGGTCTAATGCATAGAGCTAGGTTTAGTGTTTGGCAGCATAAAACCATTTTGGCTGCCAAAGCCAATTACGCTCACTTTCTTCCAGCTGTAATTTTTCAAACCTGCCTTCCCACCCGCTTGCCCCATTAACTTATTTACTGCAGCCTTAAAAAAATAAAAATGGAAAAGAAAAGGAACCCAAAACACAATGCCTCTTTTTCATAGCAAATAACAAAACCAGCTTTGATGGGGGAGGATGGTGCAGAGCACACGCGCTCACAGCTCCGTGCAGCAAGGAACTCAGGCACTCATCATAGTGAGGCCGTGGAGAGGAAGCACCCTACATCATGACCTCATTTTGGGAGAGGGAGGACGGCTTCTCATCTATCTCCCCATTACTGTAGCAATATTTTTTACCCACAGAAAATGGCTTACTAGTTTCAGACAGTAAAGCAGGACCTTGCTGCACTCTGGTGTGCCTTGTTTGTCCCCGTGGTGGCTCAGCAGCTAATGGATGCTAGGTTTTGAAGACCTATCTCAGTCCTTAAAAAGCAAATCTCTTAAAAGGGGTCCTGGAACTGTCCCACGAAAGCTTCGTGTTTTCCCCTTTCCCTTGGCCATTCTTGTCCCCTGGTTCCAGACACAGGAAACCTGGTATCCACACTGACCGTGGTGTGGTCTGTCTAAAGTGAGTGGGTACCACTATCTCCATACACTCTCGCCTTCTTCTGAGAGCTTCAGCAAAGCAGCTCAGGAGCAAGGAAAAAAGCATAGCCCTCTCCTCTGCCCTGGAGCTCTGCACATCCCAGGAGATGAAGCCAAGGGGAGATATCCCACACAGCACCTAGGTAATTGTGACTCTGTTGGAGAGGAGCAAGGTTCCTGGTAGAGTGAGGCAGCTCATAGGAGAGCAAAGAGCTCTGCAGAAAGGAACATACTTTAAACAAAATATTTATAATATGATCCAGTGGTAATAGCTATTCTCACGCTCTGCTTTCTCAGCGCAATGATGCAAAACAAATGTGTAGTTAAAGTAGAGGAAGAGAAAAAAAAAAATGTAGAAGAAAAGGAGACAGCTTTCCCACTTCAGAGAGCAGCTGTGGAGCCTTCACAGCTGTAAATCTCTGAGCTGCACATCAGTGCTGGTGAGCTACAAAATCGCTGCAGTACAAACAGCATGATGTGAGCACCCCGGTCACGGTGGGACGGGCAGGATGTGGTGGGGTAGGTCTCTTACCATCAGCAGGGCTGAGCCCTCTGGCAGCAGAGATGACGGAGAGCGTTGGGCTGCCATGGACAGAGCGGAGGTAGTGCTCCATGTGGGGTGTCACGTAGGGGTGCGGTGGGCTGAAGGGTGATTCGCCTGGCCCAGCAGGGTGAGGAGACAGACGGATGAGGGAGATGTCGGAGATGACGGGGCTGCCGCTCAGGGGAGGAGGCCTGGGGAGGAAACAAAGATGCAATCACCTATGGCTGTCTGGTTGGACTCACGAGGAAGGAGGTTGAGGAGGGAGTTAAACATTGTATGGTGTGCCTTGTGGGGCTGGGGCTGTCTGAGGCTACAGCAGTCCTGTGTGCATGGAGCCAAACCAGCACCTGTGTGGGGAGAATGAGGATGCAGGGACATCCAAGGCCTCCAGCCTGCTGCTTGGCCACATGAATGGCAGCCCTGGGCACATAGTCCTCCCACTCGCGTCAATCAGGGCTTGCACAAACCTCGTTGACAGGTCGGCCTTACAGTTCAGAGGGCAAAAGTTCAGGAGAGGTTTTATTGCATGCTTTCTGGGGGCCACCACTGCTAAATGCCGCAGATCTTCCCCAGGCGAAGTGTTACCTGAGAAAGCAGTCAGTAAACACTGGGGAGTCAGCAGGTAACAAAAAGTCAGAGGCATGTTTTTGACACTTGAGTGGTTTTCACAGGGTGGGCAAGGATGGTATAGAAAGCACACAGATATCTCCCTGCCACATCCTCCATCTCTTACACAAACCACAGAGGGTGCAAGGAGAGGAGAAAAATGTCTTGACCTGAGAAATGGAGAATTTGATCTAGGCACCAAAACAGGCAGGCTAAAAGAAAGAGCTAATTCTGCTTTGCGTTAGACTTTACTGTACTAGCAGGCTGCTGGGAGTGGAGCTGCTCAGACACGGGGTTGGTGCTGGGGACTGAGAAGTTCAGGTACACCACCTGCACCTCAGGTCCCACCCTCCTTATCAACAGCTCAGGTGCACTGTAATTTACTTATAATGCTTGCATATCAACAAAACTACACAGAAATGTAATACGAGCTTTGCAGACCTATTCAGCAGTTTACGAGCATGTTTGTCTTTGTTTGATCTTCTGTGTGTTTCTCTGTCTTTCTGATAAATTAGTAAACCTTGTGGCTTTTTGAACACATTCTGCTGATGTGTAGTAAATTAAATGTCTTTTAAAATATTTATAGTTCAAAGTACTCTTCTATAGCACTACACACCATGGGTTGCTGGTGTGAAATAGAAGGCAGTGAAGCAAAGCTCAGTAATGGTCTTGCAGTGATGCGCAGCCAACTTCAGCACTCCTCACACCAAGACCTGAGTTCCACTGGAGGAATAATAGAACCATAGAATCTTTAGGGCTGGAAAGACCAATAATATGAGCCAGTCCAACCATCAACCCATATCTGTGACTGCTCCAGACCACACCACCCAGTGCCACATCTCCACAGTTCTTTATACAGCTTCAGGGACGGTGACTCCTCCATCACCCTGGGCAGCCTGTGCCAATACCTCACCACTCTTTCAAGGAATAAATTTTTCCTAATATTTAACCTGAACATCCCCTGACTCAACTTAAGGCCATTACTCTTGTCCTATCTCTGTTACCTGAGAAAAGAGGCTGACCTCCACCTCGCTACAACCTTCTTTCAGGTAGTTGGATCCCCAGCAGGATCCAGCCTGGTTTCTTTCACAGCACCAGAAGACAAATTTATGATGGCATTGCTATTTCAGATCTCATAACTTCCCCACCTGTGCTGTTACAGCATTTTGTTACCCAATTTACAGGGCAACTGACGCCGGCCTCTGAAAGTGCCGAGGTGAGCTGTTGCTCAGCACCTCTCACCATGACGTCAGGGGAGCCTGGCTGCAGCCTGTGGACTGCTTTCTGCCAAGGTCGCTAATAACGTCGGTCGAGCACAGAGCCGACCAATTTATTTCTACCGGGGAGGAGGGAGAAGTGAATCAAAGTCTCTGTTCCAGATTTAGTTTCAATTCATTTCTAATAATCTCCACTGCCTCATCTGGAAAAAATGAAACAGGATTAAAAAAAAAAAAAAAATGATGTCATTAAGAAAACATCTGACTAATTTTTATTCTGACGAAGTCTTAATATAAGTGAGGGGGGATGTAAATTAAAAGCAGCCCCAATCTTCCCTGGGCCACAGAGGCTGCCTTAATACATAAGCCATGAAAGAAGTTTTCTTACATATACAATAAGTTCCCTCTTTCATCAGTACTCACAGCTTCTCCCAAAAGGGCTGTGAACTTCTTTGATGCAGGCTTGGAACTATGTATTACCAGGTTTACGAGCCTTTCGAGCCTCTGTGGATCAAACTGTGAGGCCCACATCTAAAATGTATATAACAATATGAAGGGTTTGCTGTTCATTTTCTCCATGCTAAATTGGGCAGAAACTCTGGAGTCCCTCAGAACAGGAAAACTCCACCCTGGCCAAAAAGGTAACACCGGGAAACAGATCAAGAATTCACCCAAAACACATGCAGCTGGAGACCCGGGCTGTATTTCAATAGGAGGCTGGCCATGCATCTACAGACCAGGTTGGAGAGCAAGTTCCTCCTGACGGCTCTGCGTAAAGCCTCTGCTTGCCACATCTCCCCACCTGTGTGTCAGGATAATCACGCTCTCATTCAGGCCTGGCTCTGAATGAGATCAGGCAGTGATCACGTCTTGCTGTGATACACGTACAATTTCACCAGAGCATACCCCAAAACAGCGTGTCTTCTAGTAGTGTCCTACAGGAATAGGCCAGAACCATAGCTCCTCTGCACCTAATTCCCTAAGGATTTGTCTTTTCCTCTCTTTCTGGTTGTCTCTCTGGCATTATTTCTTGTCCAACTCCCAGTCCGAGATCATGCCATCCCATTACCACTCTTCCAATGGATTTCTTAACTGGGATTCTGGTTTTCAAACAGGCTAAGGGAATCATGCGTCCAAATGCCATTACATTTAATGGGAGCCGGGGACCTGTTTCCCCCACAGCAAGATGCCAACGTTTGATAATCAATGCTCAGGACTCACACAGAAAATTGTATCTCTGATGAAGTGCACAAGCCTTGATTAATTTCTCCATCCACGAGAAGAGGATCTCCCTTCCCTGCTCACACTGATATTGGGGAGATATTAACTGACCCCATCTAAGGGCTGCAGGGTAATGCTGTTGGAAGTGTGCTATGCTTAACGCTTTACAGAGCTTTGCCAGGGCAATGGGTGACACTCCCCAGAGAGCACACAACTTTGCACTATTTACTTGCCATGTACCAGCCATCCCCAAACCTTGAACCATCTCACTGTGGGTCTGAAGCCTCCATAAAGGACACCCAGCAATGAAGAAGTTGCACATTTCTGAAATAATCTCCATCATTTAAATAAAACCCAGAAAAATGGGGACAGTTAACCAACACTGATATCCCACGACTAGTCTAAATTAATGTTTACGTGCCAAATGTATTCATTCAGCAGAAAACAAAGGGCTGAATACTTTTCCATATGCTTAATGGAATATGGACGGTTATAGGCAATTGTTTTGGTGTGCAATAAAAAAACTGCATAGTGGCTACCCAGGAATGGAAGCTAGGAACAGAACTGCTCTTGTGGGGGTAACACTGCCTGGTAGAGGTTTGCTATGAGAAAAGAAAAAGAAAAATGCTTTTAAAACCAATGATCACATCCAAACTCCGCATAAAAATCCTTGGTTTTGTTCCTTAGGATAAATCAAACATCCTGGCCTCATTTTCACAAGCCGTTAGTATCCAGAACACCTCTCCAGGTCCACGGGAGATGTAGAAGAACCATAGGGAAACCCAAAAAGGGACCATGCTCATGGCAGACACTCTATGTATGGGATGCCACTGTTTTGCACAGTAGGAAACCTACAGTGCCCCAGTTAAATGGTTCAGTCTAAACAGCCCTTGCTAGCCCCTTGACTTTACCTCTGTTTATTTCTGATTTAAGGTCCGTTACAGCAGGAAGGGCAAAAGGTCGTGACTTGAGCGGTACCCTCAGGATGAAACCCTCAAAACAAGGTACCTTTCAGAGGTCAAACGTGGGCCACAATGATATAATTCATGTGGTATTTCATCATTCACAAAGATTGCCCCCCTCCCATTTTTTTCCACTTGGAAAGCAAAGGATGCGCAGATCGTGGTGTGCCAGGAGGAGTTGTCCTGACCTTATATGCCTGCCTGAGAGCCTGACAATGATGTGAAAGAGAATCTTCCCTGCTTCCCAGCTCTCTCAGCACCACAACAAAGTTCTAGCAGTCCAATAAAGCAACCCAATGCTCTGTGATGGAGCTGGAGGTCTGAAGATGCCAGCTTCATGGCCCACTGGGAAGAAGGAGACCCAAGACAAAACACCGCTAACTCCCAGCCCTCCTCTGCTGGGATGTTTCTCTGTTTTTCCTGTATTTTCTCAGCTTTAAAATGAGATTAATATATTATTTCTTTATACTCTGAAAAATGGGCATTACAGAAAATCGAGGTTACCTTTACCAATTCAGCAACTAATGCTCTCGCTGTGAAGCTGGATAAAAATTTCTACAGCTTCTCTGAAGAAATGCAAGGGACATGCTTTGGGCAGTTCCCATTTTCTTCTTTCCCCTCAAATATGGCTTTGAGGCATTGAAAACTAGAAAAATAATTTTAAAAAAAAAGATATTTAAACAGTGAGGGTAAATTCTCATTAGAACAGTTTATGAAGGGAAGTGGTAAATACAGCACTACTGCAACACTTCATGGCAAAACTAGATGTTTTTCTAAAAGATGCGTTCTAAGTGTTTGGAGGTTTAGAGTTTTAATGCTAGGAAAGAGTAATTTATCCCAGTGTAGAAATGAAAGGGGAAGGAGTTCTATGGTTGGTGTCACATAATGTTAGATCAGATAACTGTGGTAGCTGCTGCGGGTCTTCACACAGAAAAAAATCTTTGAATATAAAAAACCCTTGTTTATGGATTTGTGGTTAGGGCCCTGCTTTTAGAAGGATTTATTTAGGCATTATGAAAAATCCCACTGCACATCCATTGGCAGTGGTAGTTGTCTAAACGCCTTTAAAAATCATGCCTTGAAGTCTAATCTTGTACCACTGAAGTTGAAGGAAACTCTGCCACTGACTCTGGCTGGGGGAACAAGAATGGGCCTCCAACTGGTTGATTACTCTGTTTTCCACCC